AAGAGGTTGTTGTCGAGCTTGCTTGGGTGGGCATCCACGGGCGGCATTATGGTTGGGGGCACGGCTAGGCGAGGGGAAGAGGAGCCCGAGCGTCCGCGAGCAACATTATGGTTGGGGGCGCGGCTAGGCGAGGGGAAGAGGGCATCATGGTTGGGAGAGAGCCGACTTTAAGGGGCTGGGATGACGATGGACCGGAGGACCCGCGTGGGTGCTAGGAGTGGCAGAGAGCCGACTTTCCCACGGTCCGAGAGCAGTTTGTGGCATGGTTTGGTCTAGTAGTCACAAGACAGCGAGGCATGCGGCAGCAGTCGTCCTCCCTCAACGTTCTGCTTCTCTCCATCGGCTGCCTCCTCCGTCGCCGCCGTGGGCCACGCCACCATCCTTCGCCGTGTGGTCATGTGGATGAGGGGGATGAGAGCACTGGAGAAGGGGATGGGAGAGAGAAGTGGAGGCCTGGAGGAGATGAGGGGGAGGAAGTAGGCCCACTGACATGTGGGTCCCACTATTTTTAATTTTATTATTTGACTAAAAATGCTCGTGTGTTGCAACGGGAAAAACATGAGAAATTTAAGAAAAGGTTAAGAAATATTTATATTATGTAATTAATTAAAATATAAAATCACAACTATACATGTATACTATGTTGAAGAAAAAAAAAAGTTCATAAGAATCAAGGTAAATGTGGAAAATAAAATTTTCCAAATAAACTATAGCTGGATTTAATTTTTATTAAACTCTCCATGATTACTCCCTCCAGGTTGATAATACTTATCGTTTTAGACAAGGGCACGGTCTCCAAAAAACAACTTTGACTATTATTTTCTATTATAATATGTATAAAAGTGTTAACAAATATATGATTTTACTAAAATACTTTTTAAGACTAATCTATACATGTAGTCACCATATTTGAAAGACATATATTTTAAAAATGATTCATAATCAAATATTCTAAAGTTTGACCTCAACATTGTCTAAAATGACAAGTATTATCAGCCCCGAGGGAGTAATTACACTATGTGAAATTTCTTTCAGTATTTTCAGAGCACCATTGCTATTTTTAATAATACAAACGTCATTTTAGCATTTATTTAAATGTAAACCCTCCTTTCTCCCTAGGCCATTTTGAGCCCATTCTTTTTTTAGCCCGTAGCCGAGCCGGCCCAGTAACCTGACTTCTCCTCCCTTCCACCTCGGCCTACAAGCGCGCATCCAGCCCATCAAGCAACCACAAAGTCTAATCAGCGTCCCTTCTCCTCCTCTCATTGTCACATGGGTTCCAGTACTACAAGGTCGTTCCCTACCTCCGTCCGATTCCGCAGCTTCCCAACACCGCCGGAAACCGTCCCCTCCGTGAAATCCGTCCGCATCTACGGATATAATCCAAAATTGATTGAGGGGTTTTGATTCTTATTTTCTTCTCTTTCTGTTTTTCCAAGATATAGAGCAAAATCGCATCGTATCGACCTTGAAATTAAGCCATATAGCAAACCCTAGAGTTGTCCGTTTCGCGTACAGGGAGGGAATCGGACTGTGCCTAGAGACGATGTACGAAGAAAGTTGGTAAAAACATCTTAAACTTTTATAATAGGTAAAGATAAAGATTGATATGTGCGCCCATTTTATTTTATTTATTAAATTATTAAATTTTGCTTCATGTGCTACGTCAAATGCCACGTCTGATGAAGATCGAGTCAAATTAGCCACATAGATGTCATGTCAGCTAAAAAGGCCATCTAAACCATCATGGGCCCTATATTGCACCGGTTTTGACAGTTGAGGGGCGAGTTGTATATGGTTTTGTGGTTGAAGGACAAAATCGAATTCATTCACGAGTTAAGGGACCTCAGATGAACTTATCCCGCCTGACAATTTACATGAGGCAGTCCAATGATTCAAACCAGGCCAGCCAGCCCAACTAGACGGCTCTAAATCAGACGGCCCGTTACATAGAGCCCATCTGCCAAGGTCCACCCAAGGCGGTCGCACGGCCCGATCGAAATTCACCCAAGTCCAGACACAGCCGACCCGAGTGCGCAACGGGCCAAGAGCGTCTGGCTTGATTGGTCTCACGGCCTCACGGGCGATCCACGGCTCCACGCTGAACCGCCGATGACGGTGCACGCAACGTGGTAGGCTGCGGTCGCTGCGATTCTGGGAAATCGACGAGACAAGGACGGCGAGAAGGAGCTAAAAGACCCGCCGCACGACTGCACACCGAGTGTCCGAGTGCGACGTCGTCGATCGGCGCCGCGCGCGGTGGCGCAAAAATACACGATCGACGCGTGGCCAGCCTCGCCTCACCTTCCGGAGACCCCGACGCGACGGCGACCCGACCCGGCCCCGCGCGTCGTCGCGTTTTGGAGGCTAACTAACCCCTCCATCCACAACCAGCCCGCGCGCCGATCGTTCGCGCGCGTGCGCGCGGTGGCGACAGCGATCGCCGTGACACTTGTCGCCGGCGCGATGGCAGCGGCCGGGGTCGCGAGAAAACTGAACCGCTGGCCGCACGCGCGCCGTTGCCAGCCGCGACAAAGCAGCTGATAGATCAGATAGCGCGTCTCATCCAGAGCTCGGGTTGGGGAGGGCGGCATTGGCCGTTGGCCGTTGGGCCGTTGCTCGATCGATTAGGGATGCGGTGCGCCGTGTAGGGGCGTGTACCACCACACGTACGGCCGCATGGCAACCAAATTCTCGTCGATGATATCTCTCGATCTCTCGTTCTCTCATTTTCACGGCTCCATTATTTCTGTAGCTGGAGGGTAGCGATGGCCGGGCGGGCGGCGAAAGGGTGTGTTTAGTTCACGCTAAAATTAAAAGTTTGGTTGAAATTAGAACGATGTGAAGGAAAAGTTGGAAGTTTATATATGTAGAAAAGTTTTGATGTGATGGAAAAGTTAAAAGTTTGAAAAAAAGTTTGGAACTAAACACGGTAAAAGTCATTGCATTTTCAAGGCATGGAACACGGGTAAAACATGGTTTTGTAATATGTACAGTTCGCGGCAGCCGGCAACTGCGATCTGCAACTTCTAGTACTATACATTGACTGCCGCTGTAGTTTTACTGATGTGAGAGCGTACCAGCTCAGGATGCTCATGCCTAGGTAGGCTTGTAGCCTTGCAGCTCGGTTCGATATGTGAGAGCGATTGACTTGCGAACTCTTGGGACAGATGAGCCGAATCGCATTATCCTAATCGATCATTATCACAGAGAGGAAATGCCGGTTGAATTCTCCGGCGACTTGTTACTCGTAGCTATAAAAGCCAAAGCTGAAATTGGTAACGATTATTTGACGCGGCTCATAAGAGCAAACTCGATCAGTGCTGCATTTCGAATTAAGTTGTGAGTTTCTAAAAGAACCTCATGGTAGGCCAAAACGATGTCAGCTCAAGGATGGAAATGCTTGGTCGAAGAGTTTTACTTGGACATAACACGATGTTGTTAAAGTTTTATTATCATTATCTAATTATATATGAGAACATCTATAGTATTTAGAAGTATATTATTACTTATTAGTAATTATCGTGCGCGAAGGTAGCGTAACTCAACTGGCTAGGTTTCTTGTAGTGGAACCAAACCACCCAGGTTTTAAGTCCTAAACTTGGCATGAGTGCTCGTATTTATCCATCGACAGTGAGATACTCGTGATCCATCTACAGCGAGATACTCGTGGTGAGTTCGTCAATCTCATGATATACCGGTTCAGTTTTTCGGAGATGTTAATAGATAGCAAGACACTACGGTTAATTATTTTTTCGGTGGTAGGTGGTGTATCCGTCGACAACGATATACTCGTGGTGACTTCTTCAATCTCATGATATACCGGTTCAGTTTTTAGGAGACGTTAATAAATAGCGAGACACTCATGGTGACATCGTCAATCTCATGATATACCGGTTCAGTTTTCTGGAGACGTTAATGGGGGTAGGGTGTGCGTGTGCATATTCATAGGACTAGTGAGTGTCAGGGCGTTGCGAGCGCATACATTTGTATTTTGTTTCTTAAACAAACAATTATAATGCGTTATAATACGCAGCAAAACCGATTGTATCTAAGATAGATGTTTATTGGAAGTTGCACCTTCAACAAATCGAAATGACACAATGAATCCAGGGTCTCCGAGCAAACAAACGATGCCTCCGCTCCTACTTGCAAACCATCATCTGTGCGCTAGCAGCCAGCAGGCACCTAACAGAAGCCTTGCCGCCTTGCGTGCATGTGAATGTCTCTAGCTTAGTTAAGGAACAACAAACAAAACATCATGTACATATCTCTTTATCAGCGTGACCTGCTGCCGCCTTGAGGTGAGCTAGCTAGGATGATGTAGGAAGAGCGGTTTGATGAGGACGAAATGAGATGCCAACATCTCCACCAAAAAGGATGAACCGAAAACGTTAGGATAAATGATCAATTTTTCTCTGCCAAATTTGCCAAGCAATCAATCACCTTAAAAATGTACAGAGAGAAAATCATTATTACAATTCAAATCAGGGTATTCTAAAATCGATCTCAATAGTTAATAGTATGAACAACGGTAGCTAGAAGATAATTTTTCCTCATATAACCAAATTAAAAAAAAATCTTCTCCTTTAAAATTCTGATACGCGGTGAAAAATGAAACAGATTCCGCACCTAGACGCAAAGGCCAAAACAATGGGCTAACCGCTTGGAGAGATACGAGTATACGACGCGTTGCGATCATCCTGCCCAACCGTTGCATAAGCCCGGACCACGGTTTTCCCCGTATGCCCCCACCTCGTGGCGCTAAGATCCAAATCGGGCCGTCCATCCATCTCGCGTCACACGGTCCACCACCACCCCGCCCTTCAATCATAGAGCCCGTCGCGCGTCGCGACACCGCCGCCCCCGCCGTCCGATCCGCATCCGACGGCCCAGAGACGGGGAGAAACCGTCCTACCCTCCTAGGGCGCCGCAGCCCAGGGCCCCTACGAGTCTAGCCCCCCTACGCCACCGCGCACCTCCCTCCTCCGATATAACCCGCGCGGCGCAGCGGGAGGGCAACGGCAAATCACGAGCCACACGCGCATCGCAAGACCAACGCTGAGTTATCGCATCTCGGCATCCGCATCCGCGCGACGACGACGACGAGGAGGACGACGCCGACGCCGGAGGCCGTCCGGGGCAAGGGGAATGCGGAGCGATGAGGCGGGCACGAGGCACTGACGCCGCCGTCCAGCGCAAGCTGCGCGGCGGCCGCACCTGCCACCGGAAGCACGTCGAGGACGGGTAGATCCATCTCTTGGTAGTAGATTAGTAGTAGTTAGGTAGATTCTTGAGGAGGAGGAGGAGGATGATGGCGGCGGCGGCGGAGGAGGGGGAGGGGAAGAAGGGCGGCGGCACGGTGCTGCAGGGGAGGTACGAGATGGGGCGGGTGCTCGGCCACGGCAACTTCGGGCGGGTGCACGTGGCGCGGGACCTGAGGACCGGGAGGAGCGTGGCGGTGAAGGTGGTGGCGAAGGAGAAGGTGGTGCGCGCCGGGATGATGGAGCAGATCAAGCGGGAGATCGCCGTCATGAAGCGCGTCTCCCACCCCAACATCGTCGAGCTCCACGAGGTGATGGCCACGCGCTCCAAGATCTACCTCGCGCTCGAGCTCGTCCGCGGCGGGGAGCTCTTCGGCCGCATCGTCCGCCTCGGCCGCGTCAGGGAGGACGCCGCGCGGCACTACTTCCGGCAGCTCGTCTCCGCCGTCGACTTCTGCCACTCCCGCGGCGTCTACCACCGCGACCTCAAGCCGGAGAACCTGCTGCTCGACGAGGCCGGGAACCTCAAGGTGGTCGACTTCGGCCTCAGCGCGCTCGCCGACCACGCCCGCGCCGACGGCCTCCTCCACACGCTCTGCGGCACGCCGGGGTACGCCGCGCCCGAGGTGCTCCGCGACAAGGGCTACGACGGCGCCAAGGCCGACCTCTGGTCCTGCGGCGTCATCCTCTACGTGCTCCTCGCCGGGTCCCTCCCGTTCCCCGACGACAACATCGTCACCCTGTACCGGAAGGCCCAGCGCGGCGACTACCGGTGCCCGGCGTGGCTGTCCACCGACGCGCGCCGCCTCATCCCCAGGCTGCTCGACCCCAACCCGACCACCCGCATCAGCGTCGCGCAGCTCGTCGAGACGCCGTGGTTCAAGAAGACGTCCATCTCCAGGCCTGTGAGCATAGAGCTTCCTCCGGCCTTTGCCGATCCTGCTCCGGCTAAGGAGGAGGCCGAGAAGGACGAGCCGGAGACGCTGAACGCGTTCCACCTGATATCACTCTCGGAGGGGTTCGACCTCTCGCCGCTGTTCGAGGGGGACTCGGCCAAGGGGAGGCGGGACGGTGGCATGCTGTTCGCGACGCGGGAGCCAGCGAGCGGCGTGATCTCCCGCCTCGAGGGGGTGGCGGCGCGCGGCGGCGGCCGGATGCGGGTGACCAAGAGCGGCGCCCGCGGCGTGCGCCTGGAGGGCGCGGAGCGCGGCGGGGCCAAGGGCCGCCTCGCCGTGGCCGCCGACATCTTCAGCGTGGCGCCCTCCGTCCTCGTCGTCGACGTCAAGAAGGACGGCGGCGACACGCTCGAGTACCGCTCATTCTGCAGCGAGGAGCTCCGGCCGGCGCTCCAGGACATCGTCTGGGGCGCCGCCGCCGACCCAACGCCGACCGCCGCCGTCTGATGCCACCATTGTTAGCGTCCAAAGTCATTGTGTCACAGTAGCCGATGCTGTTCTTCCTCCTCCTGTGCTTGATTCGATAGCGACGTGCATGAACTAGTATCGCTGTTTGGGTGGTGGGGGCAGTTGGCAAGAACAAATCTGTATCTCTGCCTCAAAAGCAACAGCATTTTTTTTTCTTTTGCACAAGTTGCAATTGTTTTTGTGATGGTCTTTGCTTACATCTGAATATTCCGTGTCTTCTCTGGGACAATCTCTGCTGCATGATTGATGGTCTTTGCTGTTTATATGTATTCAGACGCCGTGCAATACTGTATGATTGGAATGGTTCACAGTTTCAGTGTTCAGTCCAAAGTTGTTTCGCTTTGACATAGATTTCTTTACCAAAAAAATCGGCCTGGCCATTGATTAAAAGGATTTCCCTACAACTCTTGAATGATAGATATAAGAAGGTAATTTAAACAGTAAATGTGTTGTGAAAGAGAACGTAGTCTAGTGGTTGCAACGAGGGTAAAAAGACATCAAATTTACAGTAAATAGTTCGTAGAATGGATCGGTAAAAAAAAAAGGTAGTTCGTATACTCTAGGGCTCATCTTTTCGTTTATGTTTATGCTTGTAAGTTAAAATTTAAATTTTTAACCATAAATTTAGAGCTGGTTTTGAGGTTTTTTCTCTCTTCAATTGCAGTTCGATTTGCTCGTCTTATCGTTCACTACTTAACTTATGGATTTTGATGTCTGTCGGCGATGACAAAATGTGAAAGCGAAACTGTAAAGCTTCAAAGAAGCTAATTTGCTTCCAATTTCGATCTCCGAACACTCGTGCGCTGCTCTCAAACAGCAGCCTAGTTAGAGCGCCTAACTATGATTTTATTCCCATGGCAAACTTCTAAACGAAGGACAGAAGTTTCGCTTCGCTTCCTTGATAGAGAGAGAAATAATACACTAATGCGTCACCTGGCGAGAAGAAAATACGCATCAAAAGCTTCTGCGACAATCATCAGCTCGGTGGATTTTTCCGACATTAGTAAAAAAAAGCTATGTGCGGTTGAACAACCAGCCTGCTTTAAAGTATCTGCGAAAATCTTTATTTTCCCTTGCAGTGGTGTAATTGCACGTAAAAGTCAAATTTTCGCATTAGGTGTTTACGTCGTCCGCACACAAAAAAAATCAAAACCCTAGCGCCTCCATAGTGGAGGAGGTGTGGATCCGGCCATCACGGGTCAGTGGCGGTGGATCCGATCATCGCAGGGCCGATGGAGGCAGATACGCCCACCGCTCGTTGCTCCCGCTACCGAGCTCTCGAGGAAGCCGAGCTGGCTACCACCAGCCCGTTAGCCGTTCCCGCTCGATCGCCGCTGCCGCCGGCTAGTAAGTAGGAAGTGAGAAATAATGAGGAGAGGAGAGGAGGTGAGAGAGAGATAGAAAGAAAATAAAAATGATACTTGAAAAATTTTAAAGTGTTGAAAGGGAACGTTCTTCTGTCTACATCTCTCTTTATTATGCTAATGTTTAACGAAGTGGTTGTTTTGAACTTGTTCAGAGCAAAGCTCAAGCTCCTCTTGTTACTCGTTCCATCAGTCGGCAACTCGGGATGCTTTTGTGCATTATAACCGTTCAACATTTTGCACGTGGGACAATCAGTCAATCAGGCCAGCTCCCTTCCTGTGTTCTTCCAAGCCGATGTCTCTAGGACCTGTCCCCGAACATCATCTTTCTCTTTTACGTTTTTGACATAAATTTTTTATTAATAAATGACATAAAAAGTTTATCTTTTTTTCTTCTGTTTGAGATGAATCATCTTTCTGTTGGGGCTTGCTAATTAAGTTCCTCTTAGATACTGCCCTGTTCATTCTGCAGACTGCAGCTCCTCATCTGAGTTGGGGATTTGAGAGTAGGGGACGTTGAGGGGCATGTTCAACGGCTAACCTGGCCTGTTCTTGATGATGGATAAAACTGAGTATAAAACAATTATTTGAGGGCACAAAAGAATAAATTAAATAATAGAAGAATTTTAAGAAATGTTAATGAATAAAGGTATTGAAAAAATCGTATCATTTAGGAGCTTGAAAACCATACTCGCGCTGATCCATAATCCGTAAGCCTATGAACCTGCTATCAGACAGTTTGCAGGTAAAATTTTATAGAGAATGATTAAACAGCAGATGAATAAAGATATATAGGCAATACACACACTATTGCTGGATTGAGCGTGCATACGGCATGTTCACGAGACATTCTTTGTCAGGGTATCTCCAAACCTGATTCATCTGCTGGGCTATCCTGTCCACTAGTGTGCTGTGCTCACTGATAACCCTTCACTTCCTGATCTATTTTTCTGCCACAAAAAATAAGATAAGCTCCAGGATGCATCTAGCTAAACTTATCACTGCATGATTTTAATTGTTACCCCATCCAGATTAATTTTAGCAGTATTTTGTTCGTCTTGTTCTAATTATTAGCTTGAGTCTATCGAAACAATCATGTTTACTACCTTAACCTGCAGGAAGAGACAGGTAAAAACAACGAGTGATTTCTTAAGAAAAAGGATAATTGAATACCACAGATACACGCAGATAAAGAGTGATTTAGCCTACTTGTTTGTGGACAGTTACGAAATTTTTCGTTAAAGAGAACTTTTCATCAGGCAGACCTCTTGGTTGTTTTTTCTGGGGGCCTTTTACAGTACATTTTATTACTGGGTGTAGTAGTGTAGTAGAAACTAAATCAGACCCTTCATTTGTTTGGGTATTTTAGGGCTTTTAAAAATGCTTATTAGGGTATTTTTGACTTTCAACTCTAATTTCAATTATAGAAGGGTATTGCTCGTAATCTTGGCGCTGCAATTATCCTAATCGACGGATCCTGGCAAGGTCGCCGCGCCGCCGGCTGCTTCATCGCCGGTTCATATAACTTCTCACCGGCGTGTGGCGTCTTAACCTTCTCACTGGTGTCTTGAACAGGAATAATGCTCGATCAATTTATTTTTAGGAATCCTCCATCAATTTAGACGGCACATGTGTATATGCATGTACTAATTTGAAGAAAGAGCAGCGATGCATTCCAACCATGTTTGCATTCATGCAATTAGGGATCGGCGAACCGTCCTTCTCTCCGGATTAGAAGCAACAAAATCAACAGAACAAAAACAAAAATCCGCATGAACACTTGCACGTTCATCACTAGGACAGGCCCACCTACAGTCTGAGAAAACCAAGAGATGGCGTAAAAAATAGAGTAGATTAGAAAAAAAAACTTAACCGGTAATTAACACATGCGAAATTACTTCTTTACCATGCAAAATTTTCCAAATCTACCCTTGGGGAAATAATACTATCCATAATACTCAGTGTAGTAGTGGCGGATATGATCCGTTGGATGCAACGAATGGATGATCCATGTTTACCCGAGGGTACAGTAAAAAAATCCTTTTTCTGGGCGGACTATGTTGCAAGATGGCCAGTTGCAGTGAGTGCCTGAAAATGCATGATTTTTCTTTGGTTGCATAGGCTTGAACAAATAAACATGATGTTTCTCTCATTCTGTGAATGAAAATATTTAACCTGTATTATTTGAATTGATCTCTAGTGCATGATAGGGACGGATAGACTCAGGTCAGAATGAAATGACATACAGTGCATATAAGAGAAAGGTCTAGTAGGCTTAACTCTGCCCATGTGTCCAGCTAGCTCATTGCGACAAGAAATCTTAGGCTGTGTTAGAGAAAGGGGAGATAGATAAGATTGGGAAGATACGCAAAACGAGGTGAGCTATTAGTGCATGATTAATCGAGTATTAATTATTTCAAATTTCAAAAATAGACTGATATGATTTTTTAAAACAACTTTCTTATAGAATTTTTTTTGCAAAAAACACACCGTTTAATAGTTTGGGAAGCGTGCATGCGGAAAACGATGTGCAATCTATCTCCAATCTCCTAGAACGAACGCTGCCTTATTATCTCTTACCGGTGACAGTGTATCTCCATGCAAAACAGAACAAATGGAGAACCTTTTCCCAGACAAAATGAGATGCACCATCCACAATAATGTCATTTTTAAAAGCATATAATACATAGGCTCACTGTCCCCTAAAAGACAACCCTGATTCATGCACTGAACACAGAGCCTGAATGTATAATCATAGGTGCATTTCATGTTCTATTCAGAAAATATTTTCTTTTGAGAGGAAAGATGATATTGTTTAGAAAAGGACTATCATTGGTGTCCCCTTCTAATAGGCTCACACATTGAATCTTGGTTAACTTTTTCTAATCAAATACCCATTCCCATTGATGAGAAACTGTTCAATTATTGTCCTTTGGGTCCATGCATGTGTCATCATCTCCACGGTGCTTTCACCTACCATGGGGATGTGACATTGGTCACGCTCTGACAAGTAATGACTTCGCTGAGTGTTCCAGAACTGCATAACTCTGCTTGATTATGCGGCTAATATGGCACGATAATTTCGGTTTAGGATATGGAATTTTGTATTCGGAATAATCGAAGTCGTGGAGGACGACACTGACGCATCCATCCATTGGCAGATAGTAGGAATTAAGATGCAGCCACATGATAATGTGGATGATGGATGAATGGTAGCCTAGCCTACTGTTGCTAGCCAGTTTTGGGCCATGGCAGGTGTAAAGAGGTCAGGGGTACAGGACATTCAGATTGATAGTAGACAGATAATCCATATCTACATCAGCATTATATGAGCGCAATAATTGGGGAATTCTATCTGTTTTTCCGTGGATCATGAATCTCTTTCAATTTTTTTTAACAAACCGGCACAATACAATGCCAATTTTATTGTATAGCGTAGGAGTACAAGTATTTATCTGAAAAGAAAAAAGATAGTACAAGTGTTTTTAGAGAAACTAGGGTAATATTTCCACGAGTCTTTTGCTCCTGCTCACGCCTAAGTTTTCATTCCTCCTTTATTTTAGTGACAAGTGAAGATTGTTGAGAGCTCTATATGATGGAAGACTCGTTGGTTTCTTTCTTTCCAAATCTCCCAAAACGTTAGCAATATAAGTGAATCTCTTTCGATTGGATAATGAATTCACTACTCATCGTAGCAGACATAAAACGAGAGATGTGTTGTGATGTAATAATCTCACCATGTTTCGGGGAGAGTAGCCGATCCTCTCAACTCCCTCTTCTCCCGCGCCGACACCATCACCGATGAGAGAGAAACCAGCCTTGTTTTGATCGAGCGGGAGCAGAAAGCGTGGACGGCCCAAATAAGATTTGGGGCCCAAATTATCTTTACGTTGGGCGCAGATTTTGGGCCAAATACGGAGGGCCCAAGTACTGTACGGCCCTGGACGGACGACCGAGATTGCTGCTAGCTAGAGTTTTGCTATCCAATTTCCGGTCATTGGAATGAACAATTTAAATTGGCTGTTTAGGTTTATAATTTTCGCGGTTAATTCGTTTTATCACCCCTGGAACATCGTGCGTATCACCTAGTTGTTCGGCGGACGTGGTTACCAACAGAAGCCCTAGGAATTAGTGATCACTTCGTCGCGCGCGATGAATAATTAACGGATGAACCAATTAAAACAGCTCGACGAGACGACGACTGCGAGCTCTAGCTGTGCATGCATCAGCAAACAAGATAGTTATACTGACCAAAACAAGATTTCTATCTAGGATTCTGGCAACGCAGTTGGCGTTTAGATATAGGGACTTAACTTTAATCTCTATATTTAGACACTAATTTAGAGTATTAGATATATACTACTTACAAAACTAATTACATAAATTAAAGCTAATTTGCGAGATAATTTTTTAAGCCTAATTAATCCATAATTAGAGAATGTTTACTGTAGCATCACATAGGCTAATCATGAATTAATTAGACTCAATAGATTCGTCTCGCGAATTAGTCCAAAATTACGGATGGGTTTTATTAATAGTTTACGTTTAATATTTATAATTAATTAATGTCCAAACATTCGATGTGACCTATCTAAACAGGGTCTCAGACATGCAGTTTGGCGCGCGCTCTCTCTCTCTTCGTCGGTCGCTTTCGCATCTCTCTGTCTGATATGGCTATTCGATGTACATACCTTCCTATAAATTCACTCATAGATTTAGCCGCAGCATCGATCACTGACAACCATCGTCTTTCTCTGGTTGAGCTAGCTAGCTAAGCTAGCCAGGGGAGAGCTAGAGAGATCGCCGGAGATGAGCCAGAAGTCGTCGTGGCCGGAGCTGGTGGGCGTACTGGCGACGCTGGCGGCGACGCAGATCGGCAAGGACAGGCCGGACGTCGCCGTCGAGGTGCTCCCGCCGGGCGCGCCCCTCACGCCGGATTTCAACGACAAGCGCGTCCGTGTCTTCATGGACGACAACGGCATCGTCTTCAAAATTCCCGTCATCGGTTAGCTTAAATGCTCCAATAGCTAGCCTATGGGCTATGGCACTAGCTGATCTCCCATGGCTGATGCATGCATATTTCTCCTCGTCTTATCACATCTGTTACATATGCAGCGAAATAATGGAATAAATGGCGCCGTGTACGTTCATGTGTTTTTGCTCCTTCATATGCTCCATCTATTCCAAAATAACTTAATCTAAGATACAAAATGACACATTCTAAACCAACGAATTTGAATTTATCGTTGGTCTAGGATGGATCACATCACATCCTAGATTAAGTTATTTTTGGAATGAAGGAAGGAAACTTTAGCTAAGGATGTATTCTTTTCTTTCCTTTCTAGTAACTTTTATTCCCTCGTTTTTTACATTTACGCTTTCCAAACTGATAAACGTCGTGTTTTTTAAAACTGCTTTAAAAAATATATTAATCTATTTTTTATTTTTTATTTAATACTTAATTAATAATACGCTAATTTTTCGTTCCATTTTGCATGCCAAGAGGAATGTTGCGACCCCAAAAAAAGGCAGCCTGTATCCAGTGAATTTTTCGCTGTAAATGGTCCACCTTATTCTTTTAGCTCTACTTTTAGTTTCAGAAGCACTAGCCCCTCTCTCCAAATAGACTAGAATCTAAGAATATGCAGTTATAAAACCTAGAATATGGACTAGAACCTGGCCGAACCCAAACATTTTTGACAATTTGACACGTACGTACGGCCCATACTTATTGGGCCGGAATGTGTCGACCTTCTGACATGGGGACGTAGTGGCTGGGCCAGTAATAGTTGGGCTGGATGCGCATAGTGCCGTAGTTATGCGCGGATCTGTTGAAAATAGACAGGACGCTGTTTTTGAGGTATTGAAACTGTTGCAAATAGCGATTTAATTAATGTTCTTCACTAGTTGAGAATAAAGCATTCTGTCACTGACAGTGAATCGGTAATAGGATAATTGCTACAGACAATGAGACAAGTAATTTTCAGTGGTGGTGCCTTTTACTCTGCGTGAGTGAGTCCATATGCAACTATGCATGCATAACTAAAGATTCCTAATCCGCTTGGATTCTTTTAGGGTTCATCTAGATGTACGCTGCACTTAGGTCCTGCTTTAAAGATTAGCCCAGGTTTAATTTTGAGAGCTAATGTTTAGTTTTGAATTGGTAGGCTAAACATTATGTTCGGATCCATAGGCTAAATCAGCGCTAAAAGTTGGAGAGAGAGTAGAGAGAGAGGGGGGAGATAGGGCTGTTTTTTTATGGTCCTATAGAAAATTAGCCCAATTAGCATTTCTTGGAGGAGCTAATATTTTGAGGGGTGCTAATTTACTTTAGCCCCAGATTAGCCCACCTATTTAGATTCTTGGGGCTAATTTAGGGCTAATAATTAGCCCATATATGGAACCAAATAGGGCCTCAGGAACTTTTTGATAGCCACAACTTCTCTCTTAGAAGAGTTGATTCTAAGAGAGAAGTTGTAGCTATTAAAAAGTTCTTAAGGCCCTGTTTAGTTCTATGGACTAATTACTAGGAATATTTTCAGTACTTCTATTTTATAGTTTTGAAAAAAAACTAAAAGTTTGAAACTATAAAACCCAATGTTTTGAGATTCTCACCAACAACTTCTCATAATCTCAGACTCCTCTAATCAGGACCATGTGGCTAGACCAACAGTAGATTTAACCAGACCGTGGATAACCAACAGCCCGTGGAGAACCTAGTTAGACTCTAATTGACAATAGTATTGTAATTCATAGTCTAAAATAACTAAAAAGTACAAATGCTACCTGATGTCCTATGCATCGGGGTAGTTCTATGGAGGAAACTTTTTTATTGTTTAGACTTTTTATTTTTCTAAATTTTATTAATAGACCATTCCAAAAAGTATTTATGAAAACTAAACCTTTCGGCAACGCCAGCCGAGTAGCTGGTGTGGCCAACCATGGTGGCGTGGCCGAACAACATGGTCACGCCAACTGCGCGTGGTGCGCGTGGCGTGACAAAGTTTCAGATTTAGAATTTTTTTTTGAAATGGTCTATTATTAAAAAATAAAAATTTTCTCTATGGAGGAATGACCCTGCCATGTAGCGCCATGCTACCGACGCAAAAAATGTTTTTTTTTAAGTGCGCACATGATAATGTGTATCGCCACACAAATATTCACCTTGACATTCAATATATATATAAATGGAGATATAAAAACATTTAAACAAAGAAATACTGATGCGTGTTGTTTGTGTGCACTATTCAGGGTATGAATTTGTTTTGTTTTCTCTATGTATATATACATGTACGTAGAATTTTGAGTTGGTTTTTTGCGAGGTCTCGTACATGTTATCGTGTCCACAGTATATTTTAGTGTCGATACCACAGTAGCAATGAACGCGCTATGCAGTAGTACACATGAGATTCTGTTGCTATGGTTTGAGGGCTACTTATGAATCCCAAAGTAGTTTTTGTGTAATACAAAGTGCATCCGGTCGTAATGCTTCCGCAATAAAAGATTAAAATAAAACAAAAAGGATCTCTATATATTATTCATGTAAAAGCTATATTTGCAAAGAATATGTCTTCTTGGTACTCAACAATATGTGTGATTTAATTATCTTCCAAATTATGTAAATCAAGCAGAGTTACACATGCATGAAAACTAAGTTTCGAATTTGTCATAATAGTACAGAACTATGTTAAATGAAAGCTCTCTATATATCTGCATGTTCATATAAAGCTATATATGCAAGGAATTTTACTTTTTCATTAGTAGTATATGCATACATAAAAGATGTGATAGATAAAACATTAAACAATAAAATATTGAATAACCACAACAACCCAATCAAACAAGGAATAAATACGTGTCGACCAATGATTGAACCACACAATAAAAAACTATATCTAGCCGTCCCTCTCATAAATGCAAACATAACATATCTTTAGGACAGATCAATCATCGTCCACACATTGAAATGTGGACCTAGTGACATCAATCAATCCGTGGATAGGTGTTGCCGACGGGATGCGCCAGTAATGACGGAAAGGCATTCGGAAAATATTTTTTTCTTTAGAAAGAACCCCATTCCCCACGGTAAAAAAAGCTGACAACATGATATAGCATGATATTGTATCCTCTCCGGGATACGGCAGCGGCGGCCGGCCAAACCCTAAGCTAGAACAGCAGCCGTATATGGCATATCATGAGAAAAGCAGGAAAAGAGAGATATGGGGTAAAGGATTTATGAACCATGGTCTCTTCCCCCCTCTATATATAATGCTGCATCCACCAGGCTATGGTCACACACCACCAATCAATCAAAGCACACAGATCTGAGCTAGCTAGCGCCCACCTTTCTTCTCCCACTCCGGCGGCACATCTCCGCCGCCGGCCGGTCAGCCGGCAGCTAGTGGCTCTCTCGCTCCTATGTGGCTATGTCTGTCTACCTAATGGTTTTCTGTTTTCTTGGTTTTGGGTGGTGGCAGTTGACAGAAGAGAGTGAGCACACAGCGGCCAGACTGCATCGATCTATCAATCTTCCCTTCGACAGGATAGCTAGATAGAAAGAAAGAGAGGCCGTCGGCGGCCATGGAAGAGAGAGAGAGAGAGAGATGAAATGATGATGATGATACAGCTGCCGCTGCGTGCTCACTTCTCTTTCTGTCAGCTCTCCCTGCAGCATGCACGCTGCCACAGCCACACTCTCTCCATTATCTAACTGCTCCTTTAATTTCCTCTTCTCTCTCTCTCTCTCTGGACTCGCATCGATCTCCGATGAGATAAGAGCATGCTGCTGCTGCTGCAACGCGGTGGTGATAAAGCTAGGCAGCGCGGGACCTCGTCCTTATCTTGTACTGCAGGTTTGGGGGTGAGCCCTATACGTGCCATGAGCTCTCTGACCGAGGACAAGGAGGAGGAGGGAGGAGACGGCTTTGGAGACTCTTATTTTGGCATGAGCTACTATACATGGGCTTTGCCATAGTAGTAGTATACTCCTTTTGCTCTTCTCTGCTTTTGCAGGTTTTTGTCTTGGTTTCCCAGAGATCTGGGGGAGGACGACGACACTACTACAGCCAGCCAGCCTCGGGGGAATAAGCTAGGGAGCATCGCGCGTGACGATTTGATTAATTAACCTGTATAAATTCGAGTGCTAATTTGTCACGCGCGATTAATTAACCTCGAGTCGATGGGTTAATGATGCTGCTGGTGAGAAAATTACTAGCGGATCCCAAGATCTGCACGCCATATGGTACTTACCCGCTGTGTGTTCTTGCTGCTAGCTAGCTGCTAGCTGCTAGCTGCTTCTTTTTTACAACCTCTCTTAAGAAAGCTTCAAGCTTGTGTGTTTTTGTGCTATCATCTCATGTGTGCTGCTGCAAAGGGGGAGAAAGGACGGCCATGGCAGCGGCTAGCTAGCTGTGATTATTGGAGAAGGTTGATGTACACTGCAGATCTGGCAACCTGCGCACCTGCCCCAGAAGAGAGGAGAGCGTCAGTATAGCGGCTGGCCCAGATCTGGAAACTGCGCTGTAAACGTATGTATATTGGTTCGTACTTGTTGGCTTCGAGTTGGAGATCGATCGATCTGATCTTATATGTTGCTCTCATCGATTGATTTCTGTTGATAGAAGTTTCTTGAGGTTTTCTATTTGCCTATTTGTTGTGTACTGATTGTTCGAGTCTGAAAGTGGTTGCTTGATTCTAACTATGCCAACATTCATGTGCATGAGTTTTTTTTTCCTTTTTCAAATTTATTTTTGAGGAATAATGAGTTTTGCTGTTAATTAGTACTTATTTCTTTGGATGTTCTTCGCACATAAGCAGCTGCTTGTTATGTTAACAACTTAAGATGAATAAGATTCTTTACTGCGAAAAACAACCTGTTCTTGGTTTTAATGTTCTTTATTATAGACAACACTATATATGCACACAAATCCCTTTACTCGACCTATAGAGGACCGCAATATATATGCACAAATCAGCTGGGTGGGAGATTCTTATTTTATGAGATGAGATATGATCTTCTCAGTTACATGGTGATGATTATTTTCTGCGGATTTGTATGGTTTTTAATTTGTGTGGAGATTTAATTTCTAGCTAACCAATGTTTAATTAGGAACCCATAAGCAACCTTAGTTAATTTACACATGATGTTATTTTCGAAGCCAATTAAGATCAACCATCTATCTTTTTTGCTGCACACTAATTCAACTTTTCTGTAGGTTCTCTCCCCCAATCAAAGAGTTTTTCCAAAGGTTCTTTCCCCATTCAAAAGTAAATTAAGTAGGAAAGCAGGTGGTGGTGTTTATATATATCATGGGCAAATAAACTAGGGGATTTAATACCGGGAGTATAACATATATATTTGTAAAACTTAGCTTTTCTGACCATCCCTTTATTTCATATTGACCTTTAACCATCCTAATTTTCTAATGCAATAGGCATTTTTTTTGCATGTTCTTCAGAAAAAAGATGTATAAGTTCTGCTCATGGATTTAATTTCATGTGGTCCCTTGGTCCTGATTTATATCCCAACTTTACATCAGGGGTTGAGTAGAATTTTCATTTGTGTTCTATATACTCAAATTGGACACTTTATACGAGCTCCCATGTTAACCAGGAAATCTGGTCGTTGATCGTCTACACATATTTTCTTATTTCCATCTATACATATGTATTTTTTCAGTGCTATAACTTCTTTGCTCGAATTTGACCAAATAGTTTGAAGTCATTAAATATAGCATAGCTATTAATGTGAAGGTTTGCATCTACCAGCGCAATAAGTAATTTTCTATTTAACTCAGTTTCTCATTAATGTTAGTTGCTGAATAGACTTTTACATAAATCAATTGAGTGTTTAATTATCTATAACTTCTAACAAATTAAAAACAATGAATGAAAAGTTTGTAAGATTTTTTTAGTATGTGCGGTAGTGCTGTAAAATACTACTTAAGCAACATATTGAGTCTAATTAATTGGGCTAATTGAGTACTTCGAAAGAGCTCTCACATGCATTAATAAAAAATAGATGTGGCCCTTTAATAGTTGGATTTATCATATATTGTGAACGTTGATAATATTAAGAATAAAGCGGTCTATTGAAAACATCATAGATTCTCTTTAGTTTCTACTACCATGAATGCTTTAGGATTAGTAATTCTTTAGAATCAATATATTGAATATAGAGTTACCTATCTTGGACCTTAATTTGTTAATTTAGTTTCGAAATTTAAATTCAATAATCAGAGTGTTGTAATTGACGTAGCTAGTCTCTTCTAATTCTAATCTAACTAATTTATTATATATATAATTAGAATTTAAATAATTATAATATAAAAAAAATAATAGCTCATGCAATGCCACGGGATGCTGACTAGTCATTATATATGAGCCACTTTTGTGGCCTACCCCTCCGTCCCAAAAAGATCCAATCCTAACTACGAATCTGGACACATGCGTGTCCAGATTTGTAGCTAAAGTTTATTTTTTTTTAGACAGAAGTATGTGCTAAATGTTCTGTGGCATTGTACCTGTCGTCCCGCTGTATGTAATCGCGTGTATGTGCCCCTGTGTGAACCTTGATTTAGAAGTACACTAGCAGTGTTCCTTTTGTACCTAGTCTTTCTGCAGTAGTGATTGCTCCATACAAATCAAATTCACATGATTGGATGATGAGTACAATATTTGTACAAATATTAAAGAGCAAATTTTGCAAAACAACAAAAATCTTGACAGAAACTATGACATAACTACATCGTATTAAAGCCACAGTACCATAAATTAAACTATAGATTAAACCCTGAATATATTATGACTATTTTTTCAGCCACACGGTACCGTAAAACTATATCTTTTAGCATCAGATTTTGTAGCAAAACTGCATATTTTGGAGGTTAGATCCCTGGCACTATTGTCCTGATATCTATATATTGTTCTGATAAAACTAGCACTTAATGTGTATAATTCTTTGATACTATGGCGTTTATCAGCTGCGCCTGTAGTTTGTATATGCGCATACACCATTTACAGAAATAATGTAGTTTTGGTTAATTTGATTTTATTCATAAATAATATACATACAGGAACCAACAGCAACACTATATATAATATATTTCTAAATGTAGCTAGCTAAATGCCTCTTATTTAGCCAAATTTCTTGGCTGTGTGCTCTATGACATAGATCGGGGATCATATAAACCATCATTTCCATTATTTGAAATATATACTTATTAAATGCCTTGAAACATACCAATTTCAAAGGGTTCCGATATCGTAGCATGTAGCTAGTGATTCGTACGTATACAGCAGTAAAATTGTCTTACGATCGAAGTTGAAATGTTGGTGCTGAATGCTCTTACACCTGAGACCGATCTCTCTGCTGTGTTTGGCAAATCTGTATTTTCTTGTTATTACTCTCAGCGTATAAAACGTTCTTAACAAATTGAGAAGTATATATGCACGATGATCTCTATGTATGCATCTGTATAAGCTTTATTAATTGTTCTTTCTCCGTTTCGTATTATAAGACGCTTTAACTTTTTTCTAGTCAAAATATATATTTTAATTTTAACCAAATTTATATTAAACTATAATAATATTTCTAACATAAAATAAACATAATAAAACTAATTTATATACATATATACACAGACACACACACTGCTATATTTATCGATAAACAAGATCAAACTTTAAAAGAATTGATTTAAATCAAAACGATTAAAATCAAAGAAAGTATCGGTCAATAAACTGGTTTTTGCTGCTACGTTAACCTGCTAACACTTTGCCGCAGTACAGATACCGATCGCCATGTGGATGTGGTCAGCATGCTAATAACACTTTGCAGCAGTACAGATATCGATCGCCATGTGTGGATCGATGTGTCTCGCTCGATCTCAGCTATCCATATGCCCCAACAACAGACAATCTGGCACGTGTTGGAAATTAAGTCTGGAGATGGACATGTGGAGACAACTGAAAACTCTGAATGCATGAAACATGAGTCAGGATCACCTTTAATTTTTTGGTCCCTAGGAGTATGTAATGTGAATGAATGATTGAATGATTGACTGATTTCCACCATTTGTATGCCGACTTTTGTAATCAGAAGATAATATACAGTATGAGTAATTTGTAGACTAATAATATATACTACTAAACCATTGTTCTTTTGTTGCAATAGTGTGTAATATAAATTCGCAGCATGTTCTAGCTAGCAAAGTTACTAATACAAAAAAATTTGTTTCCCCTTATCAGTGAATATCCGCGTGTCTATATCAACGCATGCATCAGTCGTCCCATCACAAGACTCCAGGCGCATATAGACGATGTATCATCTATATGCCATAATTGCTGTGATCTTAACCCTACAAATTATTGTGCAGTGGGTACCGTACCATTTCATATTGGCAATCAATTGACCTTTTGATCGGGCATGAGTAGTGACAAGAAGCTGCCGCTGAAACTCTGTATTAATTCATCCTGGATCGATCCTATGAATGTAGCAGGATTATTTGTGCTGATTCTGCATCATGCATTAGCGTATCATATAGATGTCACAGTAGCATTACTGTTATGATCGATCTTTCTTATATAACGGAAATTAAATGGTTTAATTACATCTTTGATCTCGCCGATAGACATACGACCAAAGTAATGAAGCTTGCAAGTCTTCTGAACCCCATAAAATTATCAGACTTCAGAGATACATTCAGAGCATGTACTAAACGAAAGAGAAAATTTCTTTAATGCCCTTAAAATTTTAGCCGATCCCTTCTATGTCTCTGAATTTTCTTCACTCGCTTGTATACCTCTGAATTTTGATTTGGATCTCTTCCATACCCTTGCCGTCAATTGATCGCTAGTTGACCATTTAATAGGTATAGAAAAGTTAGTTTTGCCCTTCAATACGTGAGGAATATGTAGAAATTTGTAAACTATATTGTTGGAAGCATAGAAATTTATTGTGTGATTATAATATTCATAAGCTTGTTGTACATAGAAATTTTAATAAATATTAAAAAGTATGTGTAGCATTTTCTTTAAATCATAAACATAGTTTTGAAAAGCATTCCTATATAATATATAGGACAGGAAAAAAATATTGAACTACCATAAAAAAATGCTACATATAATCTTTTAATAAGTAAATAAATATTAGTTTTTATGTCATTATGTAAAAATAAACTTTGTCATGAATAATACCTTGTACAATAAAATCATGAATATAATAGTCTTATATAACAAAATTATACACTTCCAACAATATAGCTAGTCTACAATATCCAGATTTCCTTCATGTGTAAGGGCAAAATGGTCATTTTCATAGGAATTAAACATTCAAATAACGGTCAACTAATTGAATGGGTATGAAAGGGATCAAAACCAAAATTCAGGGGCATACAAGAAAATGGACAAAACTCATAGGGATAGAAGGGATTGGTTAAACATTCAGGGGTATAGAAGGAAATTTCTCTAAACGAAATGGGGATTCTCTACAGGAGGACAATGATAAGGAACTAGGTCCCGATCTTCTGATATATATATTGATAACTCTCAATTAAATGGCGGAAACTTGACACACATGATCCAGCTTCCGATCAATATAATTCGAACCCTACAATCAAAGCACCACATCTCCTTTGGTTATCAACCGTGCCCTGCCCAGTTGACCTCATCGAGAAGACTAATCCCTACATGCGAATCGAAGAACACGAGTAAGAACAAGGTAGATTATTGCAACTCGATTGCATATGAATTATTAAGCAC